TATCACGTATACATTATTGATTAACTCGTCGAATATATCGGAAGCTTAACATGATTATTAAGATATTGGTATTCTTTTCATCTGACTTAAAGGTTTATTTATTCCGTTTTTTAACTGTGATAACGTAAACTGATAACATGTGTTTTATCTAGTGACAAAACTTGAATAATATTTTGCAATTGTGATTTGCAGCGCGAAGTCCTGTCTTTTCGGCAATGTTCGAACACGAGATGGAGGAGAGAAAGAAAAATCATGTTGATATCACTGATGTGGACCACGAAGTTTTGAGAGAAATGTTGCGATTTATTTACACTGGTAAAGCAGCAAATCTGGAGAAGATGGCGGACGATCTGTTAGCTGCGGCGGACAAGTACGCGTTGGAAAGGCTGAAGGTAATGTGCGAGGAGGCACTTTGCACAAGTTTAGCCATTGAGAATGCAGCCGAAATCCTCATACTTGCCGATCTCCATAGCGCCGATCAATTAAAGGCACAAGCGATAGACTTCATTAATACGTAAGTTACCGCAGGAGAGAAGTGTATTTGCGAAACACGTTACGTCAACTCGTCGGCTAAAAAGATAATTTTGCTCTCCCAACAACCAAAATTATATTCTTTGGTTGTATGAGTGAACTTGTGACGAGACTTGTAATCGCTAATCCATACGGCTGTTATTGCAGACACGCGACGGACGTGATGGATACCGTGGGTTTCAAGTCCATGGTGAACTCCCATCCGCACCTGATAGCAGAAGCTTTCCGGGCTTTGGCGACTCAGCAGATCCCACCGATCGGACCGCCCAGAAAACGGGTGAAACAGAGCTGAAAGCAGTCACCGCTGACCCCGGGCACGACCTCTACATCGCCCCCACCACTTTTGCATCCCTCTTGAACCTTTGTGTACAGTGATATAATGAAGTATAGTAGTGCTAAATAAATGTTTCCTAGTGCGCCATTCTCTGGTCTAAAAGAAAAATCGACGACGAGAACCGACGCGAAGATCAACCGACGGAGTTTTGATCGAGATCGATGGAAGGAGAAAGAGAATCGTCTTGTCCGTTCGGTCAATCGAGGGCGAGTTTAAAGAAAAGCGCTCCTACACATACTCGGACTCTTAATGTTCAAGTAAGTGTTGGTAGTGAGAACGTGATGCGACCATCATCAGCGTGCTGCTCGTTCCGTCTTTACGCAACGAGAAGAACGAAATGTCCAAAAGCCTACGTATCCACATTCACATCCACACATCCTCATCAATAAATGATACTTCTCGGCTGGCCTGAGCGCGAGTCGATTTAATAACACAGCAACAACAGCAGCAGCAGCAGCAGCATTATAGTCGCATTGCGCTCGTTTTCTTCGATGCCAATACCGATGCCAATCGATCTTGGCGACACGTTGGAACGTGTCATCAGGGTTATCATCGTCATCATGGACTAGCTTTTGTTCCGTTATTATCGAACGAATGTATCGGAAGCAAATGGTCGCGCGAGATGTTAAAGACACGCAGTATATAGCCTGAGAGGACCAAGGAAAGGCAAGGAGCTTCTTTCCACGTGACTCGCCGTCACGATTGCCGTAACAACAACGCGCAATGCACGAAGGAAGTTGTGATAGACGTCGGCCAGACAATTTAAACATTTTGTTCCTTTGTCGAAAGAAAGCACGAGGAGAAAAAAATGGATCAAACGGATATCCCATAGCACCGTACGCTCGACGCGTCGATCATGGAGAGAATTAGATACTTTGTTTGTTTTTACCGACAGTAGTGATCTTTTTAGTTCTAGCGCGTCTCAAACTCTTCCAAGACGGAGAAATCATTCTAGTTAGTGTTCTTTTTTTATGATCTCTTTCTCTGAACCACAATTATTATTATATTATTATTACTATTAATGCTACGCAATCTGTGCCCTATGTATTTTTGTATATTTTTGTCTACAGATAGAGAAACTCATCTCTCCCCCTTTCCTTTTTGCCACGATAAATCCTATTTCCCGTTTCCTCGGTCCCACCTCCCCTTCCTCCCCTCTCAATAGGCACAGTTTGTCTTGTTTTCTGGAGTATTGCATACTGTAAGCGAAGTAATAGGATCGAATTATTATTATTATTAATGATTATGTTATTAAATTTAGGGTTGTCCATAATTTATCGGATCTACGTTGAATATATCATGTTTGTCCATGTATGCTGGATTGTATTATTTTAGAGACGTTATGATCCGCATTTCGAAGTTGGCACGTTATTACGTATTGAATAATAAATATGAGACGAGAAGATTGAAGAAAGAAAAAGACATATTAAAAAAAAACATCATGTAAAATAGAAACGTTAGTCAATTATAGCGCGAGTGTTAATCGCTCTTTTCTTATTTTGTGTCGTTAATTTGATTGGTTTGCAAAATTGCGTGTAGTCAATGAACTGAATTATGGGCAACCGCAAAGGCGAAAATAATAATCGTTTAGTACCGTGTACTGGCTTCCTGATCCTCCGATCTTTTAGCTTTACCGAAAGCCGAGTTTTAAATATGTGGAATACTTATTACCATTTACACACATCATTAATGATGACAATTAATGCCATACATGTTCTGTGATAAGACCACTTGTAATTACTGCAATTGTATAATCGATCCTTTCTAGAGACAGACTCCCCAAACCCCTCCCCTTTGACGATCCTGGCAGCCAGTGAATTTACTTGTTATATAAAATACATACGATAAGCGACAGTCGTTATCCGGACAGTCCCAAACCTAGCGTCACTATCGATTTTAAGATTTTTACACTGTACATATCTGCTGTGTATTTTATAAGAACAGAACAAACTCACGTACGAGGATCCCATACTTTTACAAAAACCGTACAATAATCAATATATATAATTTATTTCAATTTTACAGACTGCGCTAAACTCATGTTCCTTGAAAAACACTATGCTTTAACTTTAAATGTAACATAACGCCGAAAAATTGATGCAGATTAGAAGGTGCGCATTCGTTGTAGTACTGTCGAATGACACGTTGTACATCGCGTCAAAGATCAAAGATTGAACCGATGGAAATATAGTTAGAAGAATTTTCCACTGTTTTTCTACGTCGATCTTTTTATTTGAGTCTTAGAATAATATAGGACTTAAATAAGAGAAGGAACAACAAAAGTAGCAGAGAGTGGTCTAAATCGGACCTATTTGCAGTTTTTGCTCTCTATAAGGCGTAAATAAAGTCCGATCGTAAAATCGAAGGTACCGTTGGAAAGATCATTTAATTCCCTTCATTTTTGCTTTAGATTATTTTGACGTATCTCTCACCTGTGTTAAACTATAATGGAAAATGTAAAAAAAAAACGCTTTTTCCGGTTCGATTTGGAACCGATAGTTCCAAATCGGACCATCCCCTGGTTCAAATCGAAAACTCTTATTTTTATGAAGTTTTAGATAGAATTTTGAAATATTTTAATGTATTTTTCTTAGTATCGTCAGTATTGAGTAAAAAGTAGTAGTATTGAGCAATCTAACAGTTAGAGACAAAAACTTTTTCGGAAAAAGAAATTACTGTTTATATTATTAGAATTGAAATTAATAAAACTCAACTAATCTCAATATGATGACTCATAATATTTTATTGATTTAATTGCTTGGACCAGATCTGATCAGCCGATCACCAGTACAACCAGGCCTATAAGCTATTCATTGTACTGTCCGATTCGGACACGGGTCCTTTCGAACTTTGAAACAAATTTTACAATATACCGATCACGAAATGCTTGATATTTTTGAATTCTATACCCTTTAATTATCTTAAATCAATTATTTTTCAAATTTTTAACACCTTTTAAATAATGATTTACAAGGATTTGTTTTAAAAAGATTTTCGCACGATGACTGAAAATACATATTTGTCTCTATTTCACGAGTGTTATGACAGAAAACTGTCAAACTGCTATCACATGTTCGGTGTCTTATAAGGACTTTACATTATAAATAGTACGCAAATCTGCTTAACTGTATTCATTTAAATTAAAAAGGTTCTATTTGGAACGACTGTGACGGTCCACTTTAGACCACTCTCCCCTATATATTAGACACAAGAGCGATATAGTAACAATTTAAGGAACATACTTTGGCCGTGCTGATTCATATTTTAAAAATCTGCGACCATTCTCCAATTTCATATCTATCTTTGGGACTGTGCGGCGATTTTTCTTTTGTGAAACACATAACGTTGAATGTCATTTCCTAGAGAAAACAAAAGACGAAAAAAAACGGAAAAAAATTATGCGAAGACATATAAAGCTAATTCTGAAACAACAATTCGTAAAATAACAGATATAGAAGAACAATACACACAAACACATACAGATGTAGGCGCAATTCCGTACGAAAATCCGCAGCAGGAATAATACGAGCGTATGACTGGATATAATTTGATAAACTATTAAGTACAAGTAAGACAAGTGTTACCTCATCATGATGAAAGCCGGCGCGTGTTGGTGATCGAGATCACCACTGCTACTAGCTACTACCGCATGCCCGCTCTGACACACACACACACACATTTATACAGATACACACACACAATACATCCGTTGTACATTGCAGTTAAAAATTCGAAGCGTTTTTGTGTGAAAAAAAATTAATGGTTGCGGTAGTGGCCGATCCGCGAGAAATGTTACGCGCGCCGCTCATTGAACCCAGCTCATACACGCAGACATTCATTTTCCATTTTACTTTAAGTCATTGCACCACATCAAATAAATGACATTTTCATTATATAACAATGGAGTGTAATTTTTCATTACCTCTCCACCGCCGCGTTATTACGCTCGGATCTCTCGAAGATTAAGATTATCGAGTTTGCAATATTATACGGCCGGACAATTCAGACAAAAAATCTAGAAAATATTTTGGAACATCTATAGTTAGTACGATCTCGCTATCAAGTTGAAGTGATGAGTTATTTTTTTTTTAATAAATTTATAGATTACGTTTTATTCAAACAGCATACAAATGTATACGCAGCGAATGAATTATTTGTATCTGTGAGAGTATCGTTACATGTGCTGAACAACGGGAGACGAGGAAGGGAGCTCGTTGGAACTTTGGTGAAGAATCTTTTTTTGCAATTTCGGCGTTCCTGGATACGATGGTGGAGCTTCCGACATGGACATCTGCAAACAGAAAACTTTTCTCATTATTCGAAAATTATTTTAACATTTGTCTATGATTATATCGTGGTAAGTTGTGGCAAATATATACATATTCTTATCATAATCAGTAGACTAAAAATGTCGATTTATATACCCTGTTGTAGGGAGACGTGTAAAGAGGAGGAGCACTGTCGGAATGCGTGTTGGTGGATGAAGTATTACGAACAGCTTCATTATATGTAGGTGGTCTCTCCTGACCTTCGATGGTGCTGCAATATGTCGTCAGGTCACCTTCCTCGCGCACGACACGTCTTCTGCGCGTTCGCGTTGACGTTTGGATCGGTCTATAAATAATTTAAAGATGAAATGAATTTAAAGATTATTACAAGTCTAATAAAAAAACTAATTTCGGAAAACCTTTTTGAGAAACTTTACTGAAGCTGAAGTTCAATATATGTAAACAAAAGCCTATGAAAATGTGGCCTATATTAAAAAATTCCCGAAAATAGCTTTCTTTATTAAACTTTTGAGGTCCCTTAAAGTGTCTTGAATTATTTGCTTCTTTGAGGTTTTATCTCGATGAAAATCGTGAACATTTATAAGTGAAAAGTATATACTTGAAAGAACAACTCTTGAAAAACCTGTCAATTTAGCTTTTAATTAAAAAATTTTAATTTTTGATAAAGTAAATGTCGAAAAATAGAACGCGTAAAAATGCAATTACACTCTCTGATTTCTCTTTGTAAAATTTAAAGGTTCTATTCTGTACTCTTTAACAATATTATTATTAAATGATTATTAATTTGTGATATCATTGCAGTAGTTTAATTGCGTTTGATAAAGTCCAGAAAAATTTCGGCGCGCAGTTTGAATAACTACAAAAATATGGTATATATGCATGTACATATATAGAATATAGATAATTCACTGGGAATTATTAGGCAGATCTAGCTATGACCGTTATAGACTTGAATATGCTTATACGTATTTTAAATGATTATTGTCAATAAAGAATTTTTTTTATTCCGTAAGAAACAGTGATAAAATTGTTCTAAATTTAGCAACAGCTAATGTTGGTTGAGTTTACGACAATTTTATTACCATTTTGTTGTTAATGAATAACAAATAATATCATTTATAGAAAAGGAAAAATTGTGTTCACTAACAACAATCGTTCAATTATTAAAAATTACAGAAATAAGACCCTAAGAAAAAAAAAACAAGATTTGGAAGCGACGCTGTATTTGTCATAAAATGTTATTAAATTTGGTATATTTATATTTGTTTGGAGCACCAATAGCGAATAATAGAGAAAATTAGAAAAATAAATGTATTGGATATCTTCATACTTATAGCACACTTTACAGTAAAATGCGACCAAGCCAAAGATGCCTAATCCAAACAGCATTGCAATTCCAATCTGTGTCATTATCATTAATTGTTGCTGCTCATGCCTGAAATAAATATTGTTAATTAGATCTTAATCTACTGAGAAAAATAAGATATTGTATTGAAATAATTTAGCTATTGCTAGGTAAGCAACCAATTTTTTCGTACCAACACGTAGCGCAGTTTGCGCAGACACAGCATGGAACATTGGAACAGCAAATTACACAATTTTCTGTAAATTTTAAAGAAAGAAAAATAGAAACATTTTTTAAAGGATGTGACTATAAAAATATTATTTAATGTATTTTGCGTAATAAAATAAAAAAAGTAAATGGTATTTATTATTTACACTAACATTTACTTGAATGAGATATTTGAGATTTCAATAATTCATGGTTAAATAAAAAAAAAATTCTATTTTCTATTTCTTAACAGTATAAAACAGAAAATAATGAAAATAAAATAAAAAGCATGTTTTATGAATAGATAGAAATCTAAATAATTCGTTCCTCTATAAACATGTTTCAAAATAAATTTATTTATCATTGAGCGCATAGTTATTTGTAATAAAGGTACCCTAATAAACAAATTTAGCAGAAATTTACTGAAAATATTTCAGCAAAATTTTTAAAAATTTACTGAAATTTCGCTGAAAGTGAATTTTTCAACAAAAATGTTGAAAAATCGCTGAACTTAAACTGAAATTATTTCGAAAATTTTACTAAAAATTTGTTGAAATCAATGTGCAAGAACTATAATATATGCATATGTAATATATGTATGTATGTAATATATGTATATACATATTACAATTATTTATTTTATTTTGAATGACACCTTAAAATTTGTATTTTATACATACACATATATATACATAAAGTGTGTTACATGCCATTGAATGAAAATATATTTTTAGCGTTTAACGATGGAGTACATATATATATATATATATAAATAATTGAAAAATTCTAACTTGCAATCACACGCGAAAAATTTTAATATTAACTTACCAATATATTCAAAGCAGATGCATGACGATTGTTGTTGGACGTCACATAGCGTACAATTATTAATACTATATATATATCTTTCAGAAATTTCGGAACGTGCATCCATATCTGTTAAAATATAGATTTTTTACAATATAAAAAGTACATTCCGTAAATAAAATCAGTAATGTTTTACGCTTATTAATATGACTTGCATTAAAGTGTGAAAATATTTCAGTATAAGAAAATTAAAAACTGTAGATTACATGAACACATATTCAAATATAATGTCACATACCTGAGCTCTTAGTCAGACTTATTGTAACACAAAAGCATAAATATCCAAATAAGAATAAGTTCATGATGTCACATCTATTTATAAACAAATGAAGTAACCACATGTCATCTAAATTTCACTTTCACTAACATAATTAGACCAATTGCACATCTTTAGTTGACATTATTTATATTAGTATAAAGATGCAATAACGATTTACACGAAAATAGTTTTGTGATAACGAGCATATTAAGGTAAACCGATTCAATGCAAATGTACTTCTGAACTCCTTATATCTTATAAAACCTGTTATTCGTACCCATAATAATCTTATCAATGAATGTCTGATAACATTGGTAATCAACAGACATCAGACAAGAAGATATCTCTTCGTATTGATAGCAGCTATAATTTTTTATATTTCAAATTTTGATGATAAGATGTCAGATGGATATATTATCTTTAATGAATTACTCTCGCTACACATATAAATGCATATATTTATATATATGTATATATATATATATATAATTATTACAATACATTATCATTATTATTATTTACTTATAGAACTGCGCATTTATTTAGCAAGTAGGCAAATATGAGAAAACGAAAATATAATTATTACTTGGATATTTTATAACTGTGTCAGCAAATAAGTGAAAGTCTCGGGACTTTCGTAATTTAGCATATTTTACAGTAAAATTCAGAGATATGACACCAGATCTCTTGAACAGGTTCTTTTGTACAATTTCAATTAGTTAATGTAATTAATGCCTCTACAATATCGCCTCTATGTTCCCTGAGAGTCTGTTCAGCCAAAATCCGACTGATCTCCATCTCTTTCATCTGAAAGAAAGACAATCGTAAGTCTCTCGAACGGTACGAATTTCCAAGGATTAAACACGTGGGGAAAGTACTCACGATCAAATCGACATCCTCCTTCTTAATAGATACTTTGAGCAGCTCCTTCTCCTTCGCCTTTTTCTCCGCAGCCTCCTTGTCGCGACGGTCGCCGATTATGCTGAGAGCCTGTTAGACATTCTTTTTAATGCGAAAACCGAGTTAACTTTCAATTTAACATTTGAAATTGAGCAACGAGAGTGACGCGCGTGGATGGGCTGAATTCTAGGTTACCCGGGACAAGCGAGTACTTACACAGGAAAATCCATCAGACGACGAGATCTCTTTCTCCTCGGCATAATCGGTCACTTTTTCCAGATCCGCTGCACCGCTGTCATACTTGGCCGCCTTCTTCTGCGACTTCTCCTGCTGCACATCGTCCGAGTCTCCGTTCACGTCGTCGTCCGCCATCTTCCGTGCGAGGTTAATGTTTAGTTAACGCGCGCTTCGCCGCTCCCGCTAATCCCGCTGTCCGTCGTATGTCAACAGACACGCGTGGATGCCGTAGACGGTGGACACCCCAAACATCCAGTTTCGATTAAACTCTAATTAAGTTAATCGGAATGGATGTAATTCGAATGGCAGAATTATCTAAAAGCAAAATTTCCAAGCACAGTCCTCCCTAATTTAATCCTGGCTCTGTCAAAATATTAATAATTTTATTCATATTATAATAAAAAAGTAATTGTCTATATTGTAAAAAAAATTAATACTTATGTCCATATATATATATATATATACATATATATACATACATATATATATATATATATATATATATATATATAGAATTATGTACAGAATTATTTTTTTATTATACATGAATAAAATTATTGGATAGAATTATTAACTTTTTGTATTCCCCGGTAAAAAAATTGTCATGCATGAATATGTATATAAATATGTATAAACATACATAACACGCATAAATATTCATAAACATATTATGTATAATTACATATGAAATAAGTCCATGCATGTTCATACATCCTTTTTTCTTTTGTGTAAAATTATTTTTTAGTGTAATAGAAATAATAATAGTAATGTGAAAACATTAAAAATAATTGAAAAGATAATTTTTGCACTATTTGTTTCAGAAAAAATCAAACTTGAAGAAATGTAAAAAAATTACTTACGTATAATTATATATAAAATTGTGCATAATTATGTATGAGCAACTTTTTTTACATTTTTCCAAACTTGTTTTTTTCTAAAACAAACAATGCGAAAATTATCCCTTTAATTATTTTTTATGTTTTCACTTTACTATTATTATTTCTATTACACTAAAAAGTAATTTTACAAAAGAAAGAAGGATGTATAAACATGTATATGGACATATTTCATATATAATTATACATGTTATGAATATTTATGCGTGTTATGTGTGTTTATACATATTTATACATATTTATGCATGAAACATTTTTTACCGGGATACAGCCTTAGTCACAAATATTTTATATATGTGTATGATAACAGTAATCAATAAATAACAATATACAATATACGTAGAAGAATTCTAAATAAATGAAAACGAATATAAGTGCTTAATACAGAAAACTTACATACATTTATACAGATAGCACCCGTGGAAGCTTCAAGAATATAAGTGCTTAATATTTTTGATCAATATGTATAAGTATAATCTATACATCTATATATATATATAATATATATATATATCGTATCTATTAATAAAATAATATAGGTATTAAATGAAAAATTAATCGCGTAGAAAAATATGCTGATCATCGATTTAATAATTAATCCTTAATATATAATATCTCGTTAATATGATTTTTTGGGGAATTTTCTTTTAGTTTGGAGCAAAAATAAAAAATTGAGGGACAGCATCACACGGTGTTCCCAAGCGGTCACCCATCCAAGTACTAACCGTGCTCAACGTTGCTTGACTTCAGTGATCAGACGAGAACTGGTACTTTAAACGTGATCTGAATGTTGTCCGATTGCTTAAGTTATTTGGGAACAGTTTTATTCAATTTTAACTATGTTTATATGGCTCGATTTACGCTAAAATTATAATATCGGAACATCGGGTGCATCCAAATGCGCAATTGCTCACTGAGCGCTCTTTCATCTGATTGGCATATTCTGTTAGATCCATGGAGTAAAAAAAGAAGACAAACTTATAGCGTTTTCGATTGGGGTGCACTGGCTGCACTCAGTGTCAAGAGCGTGTTCGATTGGCAGTGCCAATGCGCACTTGG